AAAACCTTCTCCCGCCTACGGGGCCGGGAGAAACTTCCCCGGAAAAAGTCGGACGCGAAGGAGCGCGGTGAGCTGAGGGAAGGTCACGGAGGGGGCGCCGAGCCCCGCCAGGTCTGGGAGGGGGTCCTGGCTGTTCCAAGAAGGAACGACTAGAGGGACAAGGAGAGCCTCGCAGAGCCCCCTTCGGGTTGGGGTAGGAGGCTGAGGGTGGGCACCGGTCCTGGAAGGAAAGGATTCGAAGGAGAGGGGGCGCGGACCGTTATGTGCGCCTGGCTCAGATGCCAGCACTGCGGGCTCCTTGGGAGGCCCGGGAGGGGGGCCTCTCCCCTGACAGGAAATGGGACAGAGATGGAGCGCCTGGAGGGTGGAGGGAAGGAGGAGTTGGGAGTTGATGGGAACACTGGGGCCCAGGCAGGCTAGACAGAAGCTACCGGGAGCCTAGAACGTTGGGGTGGGACTTTGGATTGATTCCTGCAGGAGGAGGCCGGCAATCAAACATAGAAACCATCTCCATCCCCCTCCCACCTACAACTAGTAACTGCAACCGCCATCCGTAGGTAGCCCCCGAAACTGTCCCCTTGTACGGATGGAGAAACTGAGGCACAGAGCAATTGGGTAATTTTCCCAGGATCAGTGAAGTGACTTAAATAGCTCTTTGGATTATGCTACAATCGAGACCCCCTGAGACTTAGTCCAGGTTGGGGAAAGAGGGTTGACCAAAAGTGACTAAAGAAGAAAGTACGTGGGCAAGCAAGAGAAGACGTGAGGAAAAACGGGGATTATACGGGACAGGAAGTCTCAGGAAGGAATGAGTTAAAAGGAGGCAAGCCAGACCACTCATGGACCTGACCCAATCCTTACCAAAGATTCCCAAGATTCCCAGAAAGAGATGGGACAGGGTGCCCACGCACAAACAAACAGGAAACAGCCCAGGATGTCAGAGAAGGGAGGATAAGCAAAGGAAGGCCTCAAGGCATTGGCTGTGGAGATCTGGCCTGGACTGAGAAACAGGGCACAACCCAGGATGGGGACAGAGTTTGGCAGGAGGGAGGGAGTGATGTGCTCCATGGAAGTTGCAATCACGCCTGCTCCTGTCTTCCAAGCCAGCAGGCTTTCGACTGTGAGCTGTGGGCTTGATGTGACACGGGTATCTAGGAAGCACTTCCCTCACTGAGTTCCCTAAGGCCTCTGGGGAGGGAGGCCTCTGATCCCCCATTCCACAGCAGGGCACTGAGGTTCAAAGATGAGAATCTACTTGCCCAAAGCCATGCAGAGAAGACCAAGGGCAGGGCTCTATGCTGGAGTTAATGAGAGGGCCAGAGAAAACAGAGTGGAGAACACAGGACCCCACCCCATCCCAAGGCTGGAAGGTAGATGTGTCCCATGGGATCAGGGACTAAGGGGGTGAGCTCTGTGCTGGGAACTGCTGAGACTGCTGGCTTGTGGCTGCCCATTCCAAACATGTAGAGTTAAGTGCAGGTGCTGAGCATACCCTCATCCAAGTCTTGGGGTGCTGGGGTGGGAGGAAGAGAGCCCTGGGGTGGGGACAAAAGGGCTGGGTCTCACTCCCCCCTGCTCTCCACCAGGACGCCCAGCCCAGCACCCAGAGCCTAGTCCTCTGGAGCCAGAGCCCCTGGCTCCTGAAGGGTCAAAGCCTGGAGCAGAGGGATCCTCCAGCCCTGAGGCATCTCGGAGTCCAGGTCGGGGAGCCTACCTGCAGAGCCTGGAGCCCAGCAGTCGCAGATGGGTGTTGAGTGGGGTCAAACCACCTGAAGAGGCTTCTTTGGGGCCCAGGATACCTGGCAGCGGGGAACCTGCAGGTGAAATCTGGTATAACCCCATCCCCGAGGAAGATCCCAGACCCCTGGCACCTGAGCTCCAGGGACCACAGTCAGCCTCAAGTGAACCAGAGGGTGCTGCCCCACAAGGTGAGCGCATCACACCCAAGGACCCCAAGATGAGCAGAAGGTTCACCAGCCCCTCCCCGCCCAAGCCCAGATCCTGAGATCTGCTATCCCAACAGGTGCAGCCCCTGGCAACTCTCCCACCAAAGCATCCCGCACCAAGTCCCCCGGACCTGCCAGGCGCCTTTCCATGAAGATGAAAAAGCTGCCTGAGCTACGGCGCCGCCTGAGCCTGCGGAGCACCCGTGCTAGCCGCGAGCGAGAGCGGGCAGCCCCCGCAGGCTCGGTCATCAGTCGTTACCATCTGGACAGCAGCGTCGGGACCCCTGGGCGGGCGGCAGTGTCCGGGGAAGCGCGGGGCCCGCCGCCAGGGTACTTCAGCGACGGCGATTCTCCGGAGCGCCCAGCGGGGCCCCCGTCACCCACCGCCTTCCGGCCCTACGAGGTGGGCCCGGCGGCCCCAGCACCCCCAGCCGCACTGTGGGGCCGCCTCAGCCTACACCTGTACGGACTGGGGGGGCTGCGGCCGGCGCCCGGGGCCACGCCGCGAGACCTCTACTGCCTGCTGCAGGTGGATGGAGTGGCCCGAGCGCGCACAGGGCCGCTGCGAGGGGGAACGGATTTCTTGCGGCTGGACCATACATTCCATTTGGAGCTCGAAGATGCCCGGCTGCTGCGGGCCCTGGTTCTGGCATGGGATCCTGGCGTGCGGCGGCACAGGCCCTGCGCCCAGGGCACCGTCCTGCTACCCACTGTCTTCCGAGGTAGGTGCCCGTCTGAGGGGCGAAAAGGGTAGGGGGTGGGATCTAACTCTGGGCTTCCCCAGCTCGCAGAATGCCTAGGGTACTAAGCCTGGGTTGGGGGGTGTGGCTTGGAGAGGGTGTGGCTTGGAGTAAGGGGGCTGGAGCGCTGAGCCTGCCGGGGCAGATCCCATGTCGGTGCCCGTGCGTCTTCAGGATGTGAAGCCCAGCAGCTGGCAGTCCGCCTTGAGCCCCAGGGGTTGCTGTATGCCAAGCTGACCCTATCAGAGCAGCGGGAAGTACAGGGCACAGTGGAGCCGCGAGTCTTCGGGCTGCCCCTGCCACTGCTGGTGGAGCGGGAGCAGCCCCCAGGCCAGGTGCCCCTCATCATCCAGAAGTGTGTTGGACAGATTGAACGCAGAGGGCTTCGGGTGAGCCCCCTTCTCCACCTCAGACCCACCCCGCAGGGCACTTCCAGGGTACACATGCCAGGCTTCCCCCTACTTCCATCCCTCCTAAGCAAGGGACACTCCTAATTCCAGCCTAGACAAGAGCAGCAGGTGTCCCTAAACTGCAGCACCCTACTCAGAAGCCATGGATCATCCATCCATGTAGTAACACAGAATCCCAGGGAACTGATGGAGGTAAAAACATGACTCCAGTAACTCACAAATGTAGAACTATGGCTGGGACCAAACTTTAGAAGCCTGGAGAGAATTTAAAGAAGAACGTGACCTGCTTAAAGTCATGCTACTTCCTGAAGGAAGTAACAAGTGAACTGAGGAGGAATCAGTGGTTATTTTGCTTATTTGATTTTGTTTGTTTTTCATTTTGAGTCAAAGAAAGTGGGGACAGGGTGAGTGATCAAAACAAGGGCTTACAGGGCCAGGGTGGGTCCCCATGACAGGCATCAAAAGAGCAGGAAAGCAGGCAGTGAGCTAGAATCAGCCCCCAGCCTTGTAGCCCACAGTTTCCACTGACACTCTGACCCAGACCTCAGTCTTCTCCCCACTGACCCCTGATCAGCCTGTGGCCCCTTTGAGAAGACATCCCCTCTCCACCCCATCTCCAGGTGGTGGGGCTGTATCGTCTGTGTGGCTCAGCAGCTGTGAAGAAAGAGCTTCGGGATGCCTTTGAACGGGACAGTGCAGCCGTTTGCCTCTCTGAGGACCTATACCCTGACATCAATGTCATCACGGGTCAGCCTATCCCTCACCTCGTGTCTGCTCACTCCCCATTTAATCTTTACCTCAAGGCAGTCCCTGGGTCCCTGTGGGACCTCATCCCTCTGTCTGGCCTGGTTTTCACTCTCCTACACTTATAATTCTCCCCATTCCTAGTCCAGTGACCTCTCCAGCCTCAGAACCTAGAGGTGTCCTGACCAGAATGGGATCTGTGTCTGCAGGCATCCTCAAGGATTATCTTCGGGAGTTGCCCACCCCACTCATCACCCAGCCCCTCTATCAGGTGGTGCTGGAGGCCATGGCCCGACAGCCCCCAAGTAGGGCTCCCCCTAGCACTGAGAGCACAAGGGATCTCCTCAGCTGCCTGCCGGATGTGGAGAGGGTGAGTTGGGCCTGGTGGGAACCGGCGGGACTCAGAGTGGGCTGATTCCACTAGAATGCTTCACCCATGCCTTACCCTACCATGGCTCTGAGCTTATGGCATGATTACAACTCTAAGAAAGTAGGTGCTATTAATATCCCCATCCGTAGATATGAAAAGGGATCCAGACCAGTTGAGCGGCCCAAGTTTGCACAGCCAGAAGGCATCAAGAACACAGACTGTATTTGTCAAACTACGGGACTACGGGTTTGGGAGGGGGGTAAGGGGGGGCGCGGGCTGGCTGTCATATCCTCTCAGTACCTTCATCTATATAAATTGGGATTAATGTCAGTCCTGCCTCCCAACACAAAGGAGTAGGTTCAAGCCCAAGTTATGCTATTCCAAAAATAAGGAACCTTTGCCCTCAGTCCCCTTCAGCAAAATGGGATCATATACTAATACCTAATGATTAAGTCTTAGCGTGGCCATCTCCCAGCTACCATATTTGGGACCATGCTCTGCCACTGCAGCCTCCCTCAGATGCGACATGAAACCAACTTTATCCATCTTCGCCTCCCCAACTCTCTTCTCTCAGGCAACGCTGACACTTCTCCTGGACCACCTGCGTCTCGTCTCATCCTTCCACGCCCACAACCGCATGACCCCGCAGAATCTGGCGGTGTGCTTTGGGCCCGTGCTACTGCCGGCGCGCCAAGCACCCGCTAGGTCCCGCATCCGCAGCTCAGGCCCAGGCATCACCAACGCAGTAGACTTCAAGCATCACATCGAGGTGCTGCATTACCTGCTGCAGGCCTGGCCAGGTGAGCCCGCCCCCGGCCCGCTCAGGTGTTTTCTCCAGCGGCCAATCAAAGCTTCGTATTTCAGGAAAGCCATACCCTCTAGTCAGTGTAAGCGGTACTTGGTTGCTCAGGCAACCAGTTCAGATTTAGCCCATCCAAGCTTGAAGCGGTCAGAGGCCCTGCCTCTTGGCATGTCAATCAGAATCGGTTGCCTAAGCAACCAATTCCGGCCCGGTGAATCAAATCCCAATTCGGTCGACGGCCTCGTCTTTCGCCAGGCCAATCAGAGGACTGGTCACCTGAGCAGCCAATCAGAAAGAGGTCTGGGAGCCGCCATTGCGCGTACGCTATGACGAGCCCTCCCTTCCACACCCTCGTAGATCCTCGTAGGTCTCCGGAGGCTCCGGATCTCGCCCCGTATCTGCGGCCCAAACGACAGCAGTCGCTGCATTTGCCGCTAACGGGCCCCGAGGTGGTGACTCGGTCCCGCGGCCGAAGCGGCCCTGAAAGTCCTCCGAGCAACCGCTACGCCGGCGACTGGAGTGTTTGTGGGCGGGACTTCCTACCCTGTGGGAGGAACTTCCTGTCCGGGCCCGACTACGACCACGTGACAGGCAGTGACAGCGACGACGAAGACGAGGACGAGGAAACCGGCGAGCCTACTGGCGCCGCCGACTTCGAGGACGAATTCGATGCGCCTTTCAACCCGCACCTGAATCTCAAAGACTTTGACGCCCTCATCCTGGACCTAGAGAGAGAGCTCTCCAAGCAGATCAACGTGTGCCTCTGAGCGGGCGGGCAGGACCCCGGTTACTAAGGGCCGGGCTTTTGGTGTCTAAGGCTGTACCCTAACATTAGGGGATCGGACCTGTCACTCTGGCCCAGTTCCTGGTAGATGAGGCGTTACGCGCGACCCACCGGCAGGTTGCTGAGCATCGTTGCTCGCATCCAATGCTCAGTATCTGGCCCTGGTTGCAAAAGGCAGGCTTTTCTGGGGATTTTCCGGGACCAGCTGTTGCAGCCATTTTTTCCGAGCACCAAGGGTTTCTTCCGCTTGCTAGGCCGGCCTCTCTTGCCTCCCCTTGTCTGGGGAATCAGTTACTGTGAGCATCACCCTGGGATGGTGACAACATACCCCCAGTCTGGCCTCTCGCTGCTGCCAACCAAAACAGTATTAGCTTTGAGCACTGCACTCTGCTTCTCCCTCCCTTGGGGGACCTAAGGACTACCATGAGATGTCCTTTGGGTCAGAGTCGGGGGCAGCCCCTATTCTGAATTCCGGCTAGATAGGGACAGCCTGGAAAACCCCAGAGTTACCTCAAACCATATGGAGAAAGCAGAGTTTGGCCCATCCCCACCTCCCATTTTTCCTTCCATCCCAGAAAACAGTTGAGCACTTATAAGACCTCCCTTTTGGAGGGGCCCCACCTGAAGTGTCAGGCTGGGGCACTTTGGTACGGAACATATTTATTGCCTCCGTGCATGTGTGTTTGTGTGTGAGGGCTCGTGTGCATGAACATGTCTGGGGCAGGCATGTAGAGCTCTTTCAGGGACCACACGGGGGTAGAGTTCACAAGGACCAGGCACCCTAGAATACCAAGTTGCTGCCTCAGTGGTCCCCAGAGATCCAGTGAGAGTAGGATCCCCTCTGTCAGCCCCCCTACCTTCCCTCACATCTTTGTTGACAATAAATCAGTATGCACAGATTCTGGATGAGTAATTGGATCCACATGGACCACAAGTGGTTTATTCAATATGTAAGAGATGGGGGAAAGGGCATAGTTGGGCCCACAAAGAAGTCCCAGGTGCTCTCTGGCACTACAAGAGGCGAGTCTCAGCCCCTTCTCCTCCGGGAGGGATGTAGAGTCACTGGGCCTCATGAAAAAAACCCAAAGCAGGCAAGAATAAGACTCCAAACCAGCTGGGCACAGTCCAGGGTGGGGAGAGACCCAAGGGCACTGACCCTTAAAGCCCTATATGGAAATGGCACCATCACGAAAGTCTGTCTTCCCAATGAGGATGTTGACCACCACTGGGTGGCCATCTCGGCATTGCTGCTGGGCATCACGCAGTACCTTGACCACCTGATCCTCATTCTCCCGTGAAAGCAGCAAGCCCTGGGCTCCCAAACCCATGGCCGCTTTATGATAATCTAAAAGAGGAGATCAAGTCAGATAGTGGAAGGGAGCCACCTATGCAGCCACCCACCCTAGGAGAGGAACGTAAATCCTGCTGGACCTGAAACAGCTTCCCCTGCACACCCACTATACCCAGGCTCCTCACCAGTGTAGGCCAAGCCACAGGCCACATTGCTGCCCAGACTTGGCACCTGCTCCCGAGAAATCTGGGTCCAGCCAGCATCATTCCCTATCAAGGCCATCACTGGGATCTGCAGGAAGAGGGAAGTCTAGGCCACAGTTTGAACCCCACAGGCTGGCCACCACAACGACTGAGACACACGTAGTTCTATCCCCAGGTTACCCACCCATGACGACATGCCCCAGAACCCCAAGCTCTGAGGCGCCCCAGGGATGCCAAGTTACCTTGTGTCTGACGAAAGTGTCAAATTCAATAAGACTGTAACCAAAGGCTCCATCCCCAAACAGGCACCAGACCTGAGGAGGACCAAAAACGGCTGGGGTGGCTCATGGCCCAGAAACGAGTAAAACTCTTATCGCCAGGTCCCCAACTCACCTCAGCATCTGGCCGACACAGTTTAGCCCCAAGTGCAAATCCTGCGCCAACCCCCAGAGTCCCAAAGGCCCCTAGAAGAACCAAGAGCAAGTGACTATAAAGGAACCTATAGCGTGCAAGCTTCCCCTGGCACAGGCCCTTCCTTACCAGGATCCAGCCAGCAGAGTGGACCACGAGGCTGCACCAGGTGGGCAGCAGTGCCTACGAAGTCCCCACCGTCAACCACCAGAATTGAGTTGTCAGGCAGAGTATCCTCCACCAGCTGCAACACCCTCACTGGGTTCAGATGATGGGCTACAGGCACTGCTGCCTTCTCCCTGCACAGAGGTGGAGTAGGTCAGCACGGCCAGTGGCAGAACCTACCAGGAACCCACACCACCCCCACTACCACTCCCCTGGGCCCCACCGAAAGGCCTGCTCCTTCTGCCGGTCAGCTTGTTTCAACTCCTCTGTCCAGTCCGAGGCCCATATCTGGCCTCGAAGGCCCTCTACCAGCTTCAGCACAAAGGAGCCCACATCTCCTAAGGAAGGAAGAGGGCATACTTCAGAGAGAGGCCTCCTCCTGCCCTTCCAGCACCAAAGACCCAACGGACAGCAGAAGTCACCAGCAGCAGCCCAGCAGGAGGTAGGCCAGGGGCCCTCCTAGAGCAATGTGTGTGAAATAAACCATAGAGCCAGCTGGAACCAGGTGAGACAGTGGGCAGAAGGAGGGAGGGTAAAGTCAGAGGGAATGCAAGTTAGAGACCCAAGCCAGCCTCATCACCTGCGTCCCCATCACACATCAGACACACCTGCCGGCTCTTCCTCTGGAACACACTACTAGTCACATCTCCACCCCACATCTTTATAACCCAGTCACATGGAGTGAACAAATACATGAACTAAGGGTGTGATTTTCATCATCTGCACTTTGGAAATGATCACACAGCTCAGAGCAGTTGAGTCACTGATCCCTGTCCATCCCCACTCCAGGGTCCATCATTTATGTCCTGGGGCTCTTTATTGCCCCCTGCTACTCTGAACCTTTACATCAAACACAGCAATGCAACCTTTCTATTTTATGCATGAGTCTTGGTTACCTATAGCAGCACACAGCCAATATTCTTGGGAGGATGGGCAGAGTAGGGCACAGAGTATACCAAATTCAGGGCCAGAGGGCGGTAGTAATAGGCCCTAGAAGTGAGTTCTCTATCCCCAGGGCAGAGGGAGCAGTTTGCAGCCAGAGGACATGACTGAATGCATGTTCCCTTCGGTGTGCACCCTACCATTTGTTCATCCAGAAGCACCCATCAGTCTGACAGCTAAATATACTTCTGGCTGACTGGGTACCCCTGAAGTGGGGTACAGACCATGTCCACCAGTATCCTGCTGCAGCACAGGCCAAGAGGAAAGGGACCAGGAGGATCACAGACGTTCAGGGGGGCACTGGATGCTCACCCTGCACAGCCTCATGGGGCTTCCAGAACATGTCTGAATTTAACAACATCTCTTTCCGGTTCCGGTTGACAATGATGATCTTGCTGCTGCGGTTGAGGACACGGCCGTAGGACAGGCGGAAGTCACACACAATTCCTGGGGTGGACAGAGAGCCAATGGGCTCAAAGCTCTCTTACTTTATCCACCATGGCAGACTGAATGCAAAAGGTCCTTGTTCTTCAGCCATCCCTACAGTGGCTTTGAAGCTCCCTAACCCCTCAAATCTGAACTGGTGTTGGGACGTGCTTTGGCCAGCAGAACACAGCAGGAGTGATAAAGTGCAGAGACCTGTTTCAAGGAGTCTTGCAACTTCCACTCTCTCTTAAATAAATATGTCCCCCAGACCCACTTGTTTCTCATCCTCCACCAACTGAAGTCAGAAGTCAGGCTAGCCTTCTGGATGCTGAAACACATGGAGAATATGAGTGAAGACAGAAGCCCATTATCCCAGCTGAAATCGTGCTACACCAGCCTATACCTGTCACCCTGCCATTCCACGGGAAAGCCCCCACATGGGCCAGTACAGCTGCCTTCCTGCCTCCCCACTGCAGACCCTAAACCAGCTCGTCAGAGGGGGAGTCTTGAGAGAAAGGAAAAGTACATTTCCAGCTGTGGGGTTTAGGAGTCAGCCAGGCTGTATACAGCAGTCGTTTATCTCTAATGTCTATGCGGGGATTGGAAACACTTGGCATACAGTGCACGCACCATTTAAACAATGTGCACAACGGGCCAGTGGTACCCACTGAGGGTACCTTTCAGAAGCTGGCCACAGCACACAGCAGCCCTTGGTCAGAGCTCCTCTGCACTACAGGCGCAGACCAGTACGAAACCTGAGAAAGGGGAAGGGCAGCCTAGCAGTAAGAAGGTGACTGTAGGGTGGGCTGCCAGCAAGGACCTAAGGGGGGCATCCTAGCCGGGTGAAGGGATACAGGGAAAGAAGTGGGGAGAGGCCAACGCCCACCTGCCAGGATGACAACATCAGCCTTCTTCAGGGCAGCGCTGCGGTTCTGCCGGATGTGGAGGGGGTGGTTGCAGCCCAGCAGCCCCCGTGCCATCCCCCCCAGGAAGCAGGGGATGCCCAAGGTCTCCACAGCAGCCCTGGAGAGGTAAGGCGCAGACAGAGCAGAGATGAGTGTGGCCAACGGCCTGCCCCATGTCCACTGCACCGGTGACCAGGTGCCAGGAATCTGAAGATAAAGATGGAGCTGAGGCTTCTCACCGAAGCTTGTCGGCAGATATCGGGGGCAGGGTGGACTGGCTCCCCAGCAATAGGAGGGGTTTTTTGGCCCGGCTCAAGATCTCCACACAGCGCTGAACCTAAGGTGAGAGGCGGAACTCAAAGGATGAACCCTCAGTCACCATCAGTCCCCAGGATCATAGCCTCACTCTCTCACAGGAGGGGCAGCCCAGATCTCACTCACACAGGAAGAGTCCATCTTGTGGAGGGGGTGGGGTCTCTGGAGAGGGAAGGGAAAGAGGCCATCAGGCCATTCACCTGCTGAGGAGGTGCCTGCGGTATGTCCAAAGGCAGAGGCCCCTCAGGCTGGGGCTCCCAGGCTCCTGCAAAGAGGTTAGCCAGGTGATTTTCTAAGTACCTGTGAATAGAAAAAGAAGCAAATATCAGGGTTCCTTCTGAAGCTTCTGGTGACCACCCAACCCGACAGAGACGCTCAGAAACAAGTAGTGCAGGTGTGGAACACCAGGGTTAGTCAATAGCAAGACCAAGGCTAGGGTCAATTCTCCCTCCTGTGCACAGCAGACACGGGCTCCGGTCTGTGCCAGACATTGAAGTGCAAAAACAAAAGCTGCTTGGCCCTGCCTTTAAGGGACACCCACCATACCAAAAACACGACACACGGGAGGAAGCCATTGGAGCCAGAAGCCTCTCTTTTCTTTTAAGAAGGGGTCAAGAGTGCAGAGAATCAAAAGAAGCCAAAGACAGAGCCAACATGGAAAGAAACAGCCAGAGAAGTCAGCCTTGGAGAGGCCCAGGAGGGGCAGCCCAAGAGAGGAGAGGGAGAAGGAGCAGACACAGGGAAGAAAAGGCTGCCCAGGGCCACGAAATGAAATCATTCACACACAGGCTTAGCCTGCCACATCCTGTGTGTCCAGGACCCTCCCTGAGACGCCTCTCCAATCCACATTGGAGGAGACACAGGAGACCTATGGCTTCACCTGCCGTGATGCTGAACTTGCCCCTGCTTGTATTTATAGGACTAATGGGTAATTCTTTTGTACCTCGGCATTCCGCACTGTTGGAATGATCTCATTTTATTCACAGAATCTTAGTCTGGAGAGAAAAGCAGACACTATTCATCCACTTCAAAGATGAGGAAGCTGAAGTTAAGGAAGGTTTAGTTATCTAAGTCAAATTGGTAAGCTGTGTACCTTTAAAGTCCTGTGTGTTAATTAAACATAAATAAAACTGGGAGGAAGGGAGAGAAATAAATGTTTACCCATTTCCTCAGGGCTCACACAGCTGGTTACCATTAATCGTGGGAGCTGAACCCATTTCCCTGAGTTTCCCTTTCATTCACTACTCTGTGGGTAAAATAACAAAGGTTCCTCCAAACTGAATCTTAGTGCGCCATCAACAAGCTTCAAATTAGTCATTCAGCCTCCTATGCTCTCAGCTTCCTCATCTATGAAATGGGTGTAGTGGCACCTCACTGTCTCCACTGAGTCCAAGAGTTGTCAGGTACGGCTGCTGAGTAAGACTGCTACTCCCTAGGCTGGTCCTCCTCACATGCCCAAGGGTGCAAGGGGCTGTCCTTACTGCTCATCAAGGGCACCCTGTGCCACACAGCACTGGAGGGACAGTGGGAGGCAGAAAGTAAGGATAGGCAAAAGGGAAAGAGGGGGAGGAGGGAGAAGAGAAGGATCAATTCTTCCTCCTAGATTATCCAGTCACAAACAGACCCCTTTCCCATACCTCAACTCCAGATAAGCCATGCCCCTACCTGGAAGCTGTTTCTGTCTCCTCATCGGAAAGAACCTTGTTCCCTTTTCCCTGCAAACTTGAGCTCTTCCAGGAAAAGCTTCCAGCTGTCCCAGAGCACCCCCTGCTCCATTAAAGAACCTCATCTCTTGCCACTCAAAGTCCTGCAGTGAGCTGTCCCCACGTCACATCCCTTATCCTGGCCTGACGGAGGTCTACGCATCCAACAGCCATCACCCGAACCCAAGCCACCTTCCCCCTCTCATCCCAGCACTACTGCAGCTCCTCCCTGGTGTCCAAGTTTCCAACCAACCTCAGGCTTCATTCTCCAGCAGCAGCTAGAAGTAATTTAAGAAAAACCCAAATCATGGTATCCCAAACCCCTGATAAGGCCCTGCAGTGCTTCACGACGCACATCAAATTAAAAAAAAAACCAGGTTCAGCCTTCGGATCCTAAGGGCTGCTCTGAACTCAGCCCCTTCGTTCACAGGCTGCCAACACGTGGACTACCTTGCTTCCCCAAACTCCGGCCTCACGGTCTTTGCATATGCTTCCCCCTCTGCCTCAACTCTCCCCACAGCTGGCTCCTCTCAATTCATGGTAGAAATCAATGAAAGAGTAGTGGTTGATGGCAGGAGACTGCACGAGAGCAGGGAATGAGCGGTGCATGGTGGGAGTGGGGTTACTCACCAATAGACCACTTGACCTAAAAGGCCCTTGGGTGGCTTGGCTGGCACCATCTCCTTCCGGACCATGAAGTAGGGGTACAGCACATCAATGGGTAGCTCCACAAACACTGGGCCTGCAAGGGGAGAGAGGAGCCTGAGCCTGTGGTGTCTCCTCACCCACAGGCAGTAAGGCTAGACCACTCCCCAGCAGCTAACCTCCTACCTGGTGTGCCTGACTGGGCAGCAGCCATCGCAGCCCTCAGGGTGGGCATGATGTCCCTCACCCTCCGCACAGATGCACAGAACTTGCAGAGAGGCCGGAAAAGGGACATGTGATCAATGGCCTGAAGTGCACCCCGGTTCTGATGAAACAGGAGTTCAAAGAGTCAATATATGAGCCCTTCAAGTGTCCCAGCAACCCCCCACCCCACATCAGGACAGGGTACCTGCAGCAGAGTGCTAGCAGCGCCACCCAGCAGCAGCACTGGGGACTGAGCTATCTGCGCATTCTTCACTGCAGTCACTGTGTTGGTGAGTCCTGGTCCTGCTGTCACCACTGCCACACCCACCGTCCCTGGAACAGAGAACCCATCCTCCTAACAGCCCACCCCCCCAAAAAAAACCCTGCCTCTCAAAGCCCACCCATCCTGTCTCACCAGCCCCCAGGCCTCTCCTCCCTACCCTTACCAGTCAGGCGGGCCACAGCGTCAGCAGCAAAAACCGCCGTGACTTCATGGCGTGTGTCCACCACGCGGATGCCCAGCTTCTCACAGGCCACCAGCACTGGTGAAATGTGCCCACCAACCAGTGTGAAGAGGAACTGCACACCATGGGCCCTCAGCACGGCGGCCACATTCTCCCCACCATGCCGGATGCTTGCCTTGTCCACCTGGGCCCGAGGAGGAGCAGGAGCAAGACTGTCAAGGGTACCAAAGTAGGTGGGGAGAAGGATGACACCCCTCCCCCCAGAAGAAAAGAAGGAACGAACTGGTGTTGGTTAAGCACATATTACACACCCAGCCCACAGCAAGGCGCATCATCTTATCAGCTCTCTTGTTATTATATCCTTTTCAGCTAAGGTGACCAAGGCTTGCCTGAACAAGATTCAAAGTCCCATAGAACCAGTGCTCTGAAGTACCAACTCTTACACTTCCCGCCCCAGGGATGGTGGGGCAATCAGATAGAGAAAAGAGGGAAGGTAGACCTACAAACCCAGGAGAGTTTGGCCAGAGGTCACCTGTTAGGATTCCAGAGGCGCCTGCCCTTCAGTATGAAGGCAGCATAAGCACTGACCCCACCTAACTGACACCCTCCCGCTCACTGGGCCAGGCCCAGTAGACAGGTGCCAGCTACCATGTGCCTGGCATCGACTCTGCTGGGCCCACCCAGCTACCGGATTCCTCACAGCCCCTCACAACAGTGACCTTTGCCTTGAACACCACAAGTCCTCAAGCCTAGTAGTGTTACTGCAGGTTAGGAGAGGAAATGCTGAAGAGGGAGCTTAGGCAAAGAGGAGGTCCATTAAGGTTGAGCTCCACTAAGGAAGGAAGGACTGGGGAAGAGTCCAAGTTATTCCAAGTGAGGGGGGTCTGGGAAACGGGGTCACCGAGGGGCCAAGTAGTTTGGTGCACATTTCCCCACAGGTCATCTACAGTAAGCTACTACAGAACATCTCCAGGTCTGTTTCCTCTCTTAGGAAATAAAGACAAACCGGGCCCTCCCTGGTGGCACAGCGGGTTAAAGCACAACACCACTGAAAAGCTAAAGCCACTTCAGCTGAGTTCAGCCCTGGAGCTGACCCACATGGCACATGTGCCCGCCTGCTGCTCCCCTCAGCAGTGTACTTCGTCAGTCAGCCTGTTCTCCTCCCCACTCTGTCTCTGGTGAATCCTCTCACTGCCCCTGTACCTCTGGCCTGTACCCCAGTTCTGTATCAATAAATAAATAAATCTTTTAAAAGAAAAGAAAAGAAAGACAAACCAAGACCTATTCAGGTAGGTACTGAAGAGAATATATGAAAATCCTTCTAAAGCAAGGACTCAGCAGACAGCCGAGGTAACAAAAGTGTTACAATAATGTCCTCGGCTGCCTGCCTTTGACCCACCCTGATCCACCCTGTTTAAAGGTCATTACTCGGTGAAACGAGCACGAGGCCCCTGGGAATGGCGTTAGACGGGGTGCTGGGTGCTATCATCACTTACTAATGACAAAGTCCAGGGCCTGTATGCAGCCTGGCAATGGGGGACAGGCACTCTGGATGAGTCAGGCCTCCTTTTCCCCAACGGTCAGGTAGCTGGGCTGGAATGCGCACCGGGAGTCCGCTCCTTCTTCGGCCAACCCCAGCCCATTTCCCATATATGCCCACGCACCTTGTGCATCAACTGATAGAAGAGCCCCAGGCGATGCGCGGCACCCAACAGGGCGGCCCCTAGGGTTCCGCAGACCAGGAACAAGAAGGAGGGAAAGAAGCTCCAGGCAGGGGCGGAGGCGTCGGGGGTCTCCATGAGATGGCACCGTGGGGGGAAAGGTCAGTGCCAGGACCTAGAGCGGACAGATCTGTCAGCCAGAGGCCAGTCTGCCCAGCCCGGGTTCCAGGTCACGCCCCCATCGCGACTTTCCGCGCGGCCACGCCCCTCACGTATCCAACACAGGGCAGGGCCCGCCCCTGTCAGAGGCCAGGTCACGCCTCCTGAGGACCCGGCCCGAGTCTGGGCGCCAGCCCCCCTTACGTCAGTACCCCTCCACCTAAGGTTAAGGCTACCACAGGTCCCTGAAACTTTCCCACTCAGTTTCTAAAGGACCGGGAGACAGCCCCGCCTCTCTTATATAAAGGTCCCAAAGCCCCACTGGTGCGCCCCCCCACATTCGTCACTGGATGAGGCCACGCCCCCAGGCCAGCGAGCGCGACTCTCCCCTCAAACCAGGCCCCGCCCCCCTGGAAGCAGCCGAGTCCTAGTCTGACCCCAGACCCCACGCGCGAGTCCAGATGAAATAGTGTCAGAACGTTCGTGAGATCCCGGGGGGCCCTTCAACTTTTACCTACAAGAAAATGGCGCCGACTCCAGAGGAATTCGGCGCCCTTCGTGTCACGTGATGCGGGAGAGCAGCCGCGCCCCGTTCACCCATTTGGATCAACGGCGTCCCGTAGTTCGGTCCGGAGTCTGTGCGCAGGGTCGCTGCCGCGATCCGGGACTTCCTGTAGGAACCCAGTCTCTACGGGCCTCTTTGCAGGCAGGCCCTGCCTCCCCTCGCCTTCATTGGCTTGCACACAGGAGGTCCTGCCCCTCGGTGTCTTCTATTAGCTGAGACACTCGTGGGCGCGCCTTCAGCAGTCCGTTGACTGCTCCTGGCAGGTCCGTAGATTCCTGGCCGTGTGGTCCCAGCCCACCTTTTGCTTCGGCCCTGCCGTTGCGCCGCGTTACGTGGCCCGGGCGTTTTTGTTCTGGGGCTCGCTCCCCAGACTCCGCCATCCTGGGCCTTCCGTGCCAGCCTGTAGCCATCAAGCCCGTCGCTCACACCAAGCCTCGCCTCTTAACCCTCCACCACCCTGCAAAAGCTGCCGCTTTGCTGCCTAGGCCCGTCCTGTTATTGGTCCCCTACCGCTGGAGGCCCGGTCCCTTCCCGGACCTTTGAAATTTTTGTCGCTCGGCGTAGTCCGGGGTCCACCACTTTCCAGCCACCTGGACGCTGAGAAGAAGGGTTCCTGTCAGTGAAGTTGGTGTTATTCTGGTCCGTCCTGCTTCTGTTCAAGGCAAATCCACTTTTACTCTGGGTCCCAGCCCTTGTCACCTTCTGGGATTACCTTCTAAGATTCAACCACATCCTTAACTGTATCTTCTGCTGGATCACGCCTAAAAAGCAACATCTCCATTTACCCCCACATTCTCTACATCTACCCCCTTTTTTTAGCAAAATTCCTCAAATGTGTTATTGTTGTAGTAGAGAGCTAGCTGGTTAGGGAGCTGGCCTGCAAGCTGGCTGGCAAGGGCTGCTTGTAAGAGCAAACTGAGGCTCTTCTTGAGGAGCAGAAAGGTGACAGGCAAAGGCTGCTAGCCAATGAGCTAGTGGCAGAGGCTGTAACCACAAAAGGCATGTAGATAAACACTGTAGCTTGTGGTGGCTTCACACCGCTGGGTGGTGAGGTGGGCAGTTAGGCAAAGGCCGGTAGTGGAAAAGCATCCAATCGGGTGAAGTCCTCATGAGAAATTATAAGTAAACCTACCTCCAAGACTCCTCCTTTGGACCCCCTCCTGCTGTCAAAAGTGTCTCTTGCAATAAGCCTGAGCTTGCTAATCTTCATTCTAGTGTGTCAGTGATTGTTCCTCAACCACTTGGACTCAAGAACCCACCCATTTGGCAACATTATCTATACTTGCTGCTTGAACCATTCCACTACAGTCCACTCTGAGATTGTTTTCTGGATTATTCTCAACACTCTAAACCAGTAACTCTCCCTCTTGTCTCCCACCTACCAGCTTAACCCAAACTTGCCAAGGGCCTGAGTTAACAGGAACAAGTGCAGACTTACTAGAGGGCCTTCTAGACCCAGTTAAACTCCCAGTGCAATCATGAAATAGTGATCATTACTTTTCGTCAAGTGCTTACAACATGCTCACATGTTAACTCACTTAACCCTCACAAAAAGCCCTGTCAGGAACGTGTATTAGCGTTATCCCATTTTGCAGATGAGGAATCAGAAGCACAGAGACCATGCTCAAATTCACACAGCTTGTAATAGATGCTGCCTGGGTCCCCATACTGGAAGCATCTCTGGAACACTATGACTCAATAATAAAAGGACAAACTACTGAAATACAATAATTTGGATGAATGATGTCAAAACAGTTATGCTCAGAGAACAGATTGGTTGCCAGATGTGGGAGGAGATTAAAGTAAAGGTGGTCAAAACATACAGATTTCTAGTTTTAAAACAAGTAAGTCCGGGCCCTCCCTGCTGGCACAGCGGGTTAAAGCACAGCACTGAGAAGCTAAAGCCACTTCCACATGAGTTCAATTCCCACCTGCCCCGGAGGTGACCACATGGTGCGGCAGACCTCTCCTGACCCGCCCGCTGCTCCCCTCAGCAGTGTACTTCGTCGATCTGCCTGTTCTGCTCCCCGCTCTGTCTCTGGTGAAGCCTCTTACCGCCCCTGAGCCTCTGGCCTATACTCCAGTTCTGTATGTACAAATAAATAAATCTTTAAAAAAAAAGTACATACTACATTGAAGAAGTACATACTACATTGCATATTTGAAAGTTGCTAAGAGAATAGATTTTGAAACCTCCCCTCATAAGAAAAACAGTTGTAACTAGGTGAAGTGATGGATGTTAAGAAAATTATTGTATTTGCAATAGATATATCAAATCATGTTATACAACTTAAAATAATACAATATTATATGTCAATTATATCTGAGTCCAGGAAGCCAATTTCAAAAGTTTACATATTATATGACTCAATTCATATATATTCATGGTGAGGGAGGACAGATCAATGGTTGCAGGGAGTCAGAGAATGATGTGTATGACTATAAATAAGGTACTACAAGGGAGTTTTTTGGAGGTGATGAAGCTGTTCTGTATAGAGATTGTGGTGGTGGTAGCTGAGATAAAATTTCCTGAGTGGTACTGAAAAATAGCTATTTTACTACATACATAAAATTATGCATATAATTTCATACATACGTGTATAAAGACTGATGTTATACATACACACACTATGTAAATCATTTTTTAAAGATACACTAGTACCAAACTGAAGTTTTTCCTTTGGCATTTCAGCAGCCTTGAAAGAGTATTGGGAGTAGATGGAGTTCTGCATGTGTAATCGAAAGGTTTTTCTATTGCCACTTGCAGGAAGTTACTGTTAAGCACTTTGCATTTTAGAAAACATTGAACTTACCAAACCTTCATATTGTTATCAATCCTATTTATGGGTTTCAGAAAAACATAGTGTCCACAAATGTCAAAGAAGGATAATGATGAAGAGATCATTCGTGTCAATTCCTGTTTTGTGATTATGACAGAGAAAGGAAGGGATTCCCACTTCTCAGTGAGTATTTCTGAGCTACCTGGGTACCCAGATTTCCAGAGCCTGGATCCGTGAGGATAAGGTGATGGGCTTGTGCTTACCACTATTGAGAATCAATTTGAGAAGGAGCTCAAGTCATCCTGACACTATTTGACCTGCACTCCTTCTCAACTGTGAGACAAGCCTCCAATCTGCTTCCATTTTCTTGATCCAAAGCATCAACTAGGCCTCCAACCACCCCTTTCTGGCTACAAGTCACAGCACACCACGCCCTGCCTAACTAGGAGGTGGGAGGGAACCCACATCAGCAATTACCCAAGCAGAAGAATGAAAGTCAACCAGTTCTCATAACTGGAAAAAAGTAACAGTTCACAGAAACCTCCAAAACATTACTAAAGGAGTTACTTATAAATCTCCTGATTCCTCAAATTTGAAAGAAAACTGAAGCAGCACACAAAAAATGTTAATGTGCTTGATATAACTCTTTAAAGAAAAATTGAAATCAAACATCCTACGGTCAGCTTTATTTGTAATATTCAAAAACTGAGGGGAGAGAGGCGTGTTCTTCAATAGATAAATTGTTAAACAGACTCTGGTACATTCATACTATGGGATCCTCTCACTGATGTAAAAGGGATTTATAATACTACTAGGTATAGTAGATGTAATATAATATATGTTATATAAGTTATATAACATGCAACATGATTGTATAATATGTTTATATTGCAAATTATATAAAACTGAAAATATACATATTATATTTCTAATAAATTATATTGCCAATTATGTGTTCAATAATACAATGTTATAAAATACATCTTAAGTAACAATAAGGGACATCATCTCATATAATATTTGATATATATAATATTTGATATTATAGTTTATGTAATATAAAACTAAAAGCAATTATTATTGGCAAAGACGTGTCTTTCAGAACTCACCACAACCAAAATATATACCTTTTTAGTCACACCCAGTGACTGAAGGACATAATGGACTCTCCCATCCCAAGCATAGGAGTTTTTAATGTGAAATCATCATGAATACACAGAACTTAGAATTTTTTCCCGAGTGTCCCATTAATCTACCCAGGGTGGAAACCTGGGTATTCCTTTATTCTAATCCCACGTCTTCTCACCTCACATTTCCCTGGGATTATTTGGAATCTCTCTGTAATGCCCGCAGGACCCTGGCTCCAAAAGAACCGGTTTAGACTATCAAGAGCAGGGACCACTGGAGACTCAGCTGCAGCTTGACCACTCCATAGCAGTGTGGTATTTGGGCAAGTTGCTTAAACTCTGAGCCTTCATAAAATGGAGATGTTCACTTTCCTCATGGGATGATGCCAAGTCGTGTTGCTTCTTGCACACCAGGATTTATTCTCCCCTTCCTCGTTAAATAATAGAGTTCTCAAGATGTGGACTGGCACGTGATCCTCCACCTGGAGGACGTGTGTCCGGCATGCTCACTGCCCGCGGTAGCTTGTGTCACAGTTTCGGTCAGTGGGACATGAGCAGGCAGGTGACCCCCACACCCACAGCATGCCTGAAAAGGAAAGGGTTTGTGCTACTGTGAGCCTTATACCTTTTCTGTAGCCTGGGGTGCAGATGTGATGGTTGGA